GTGAGAGGCCTACGTACTGCAAAAAAAAAAAAAAAAAAAAAAAAAAGTATAAAACAAATCAGTAAGTGGTTCTAAAAATGAGAAAAACTAACTGGAAACTATTCAATGTTTAAGATGCTTCAGATTATAAACTTTTAAAAGACCAGAACTTTCAAGGAACCAGCAGAATGACTGTGTTCTCTTTAGTAATTCATAATAAAAATGTTTCATTTTTCTTTCTACCAATTCATGACACAGGCTTTATGGAAGAAAACTTGGAAGCACTGTTATTTCCCAAAATAAAACTTGTGTGTGTGTGCGTGTGTGTGTGTTTCAGGGCAACCACTGGAAAAGATATATAGGTCCAAATAAAAAGAGTAAAATTTTCCCTATTTAATGTCATGTCCCAAAATAAAAACTTTCCAGAGAATAAACAAAGTAAGCTTTCCAGCAATGCAGCTCAATTACATAAGCAAATTGTTATAATGTAGTTTAGTATATATATTTTTTCCCTTTTCTTTCTTTTATTGCTTTTTTTGTTTTGCTGACTTGACTCAGTTCTGTGGCCTTGGCTACTAGCTGGTCAGTTTCCTTTCTTCAGTAAATCCACATCCCACCACTTCCCTTCTAGAGCTCTCACACTTCTAGGTCATTATGCACCCAACCTAATTGCTCCAAAGTTAAGGTACCAGATATCTTGAGACAGACTCTGTGCCCTAGAGCCTGAGAAATTTTCCTAATCATTCAATCCACAAAGTGCCCTGGAAACCTAGCTACCTCCACCCTGCTTGGCCACACATACACTGTCCCCTACAATTACAGCTTATTGTTACCCTGTTCTTGGTACAACCGTCTATGTGCCCCTGCCTGGTGGCCTTTTCTCCTTTAGGGCTATAAATAACAAAAACTGGCCCTCATGCAAGTGCCATCGTTGTGTTGTGTGGCACTTTTCAATGGATCTTTAAATTTTATATAACAATCAGCTACCTAAAAGACTGACCTAAGAATCCACAAAACTTCTGTAAATTTATTTATAGACTTTATTAAAAGCCTTCAAATTTATTTACAAGAATGAATCATAAGTAAAATTTTCAAAGAGCAATTAATATTATCTAATGGAAAAACCATTTTTTGCAAGTTAAATATTTTGTACAGTACACACAAATTTTAACTGTAAGTGTCTTAAATTGTCAGTTATCTGTAAGAACTTTCAGAAAAATGTAGAAATGGAACTTGGAACAAAGTCCCTCTGTTGCCTTTTAAAAGGACAAGCCTCCCTAAACCCTACCTCCTTCCCAATGACACATTTTCTCCTCTCTTAGCTCACTGCTTTGAAGGCAATTATTTGTTTCCCAGGATAGACCCAAAGCTCCACGAGGATAGTGTTGACATCTGCTTTGTTCACTGCTATATTCCTGGTGCCTGTCACAGTGTCAGCATATAGTAAATACTCAGTAAATATTTATAGAATAAATAAATGTTATCAGTTCTGAAAAACAATATACTCTATTTGTTAAAGTGTGTCATTAAATGCTGAAGACTTAGGGTCCACATATACTTATAGACGCACACAGACACACACACACACACACACACACACATACCCCTAGTGTTCTCAATTCTTGGGTAATATTCTTAATTTAATAAGATGGCAATGTATATTGGATAAGACTATTTAAAAAATAATCTTGCATATTCTCTCTTTTTTATGTACTCAATAAAAACCTGATGCTATTAATATTTCTAAGGTAGCTGATAATTTATTTTTTACTTTGGGGATATTAACAGGAAAAGAAAAACTTATTAATGATTCTGGAAAAGTAAAAATTAAGGATTGATTTATAGGCCTCAATATATATTATACATCAAATTGGTGATTATCTCTGTTGATGGCTAGAAAGGAGTGAACTTTTTTTTTAATATTGAGTTTTTTATTTTATCTTTGGCTGCATCGGGTCTTAGTTGCGGCATGTGGGCTCTCTAGTTGTGGTGCACAGGCTCAGTAGTTGCGGCGTGCAGGCTCAGTTGCCCTACCGTATGTGGGATCTTAGCTCCCTGACCAGGGATCTAACCCATGTTCCCTGTATTGGGAGGTGGATTCTTAACCACTGAACCACCAGAGAAGTCCCAGACTTCTAATATATCTCTGCTAAATATGCTAAAACATATTTAGCAGAGAAGTTAAATAATTCATTTATTAACTATCACAAAGTATTGCTAAGGCAAAGAGATTTGTTGTTGAGGAAGCTTTTGGTATGATGTTTGCGAAATCAGAATCTTCTAATTACTTAAGGTCTGCCTTTTAAGCAGAGGATATCTTTTTTTTTTTTTTTTTTTTTTTTTTTTTTTTGCGGTACGCGGGCCTGTCACTCTTCTGGCCTCTCTCGTTGCAGAGCACAGGCTCCGGACGCGCAGGCTCAGCGGCCATGGCTCACGGGCCCAGCCGCTCCGCGGTATGTGGGATCTTCCCGGACCGGGGCACGAACCCGTGTCCCCTGCATTGGCAGGCAGACTCTGAACCATTGTGCCACCAGGGAAGCCCAAGCAGAGGATATCTTTAATAATTTCTCAGGACATTTTCAACATCATAAAATTTTAATTAACAATTAACATTGTTCTTAGATCATTACTATTGCTAAGCACTATGAGGAATCAGAAGGCTAATAAGTTGTTTTTTTCCATCAATGGATTTTAAATCTAGTTGAGAGAAAACAAAAATGTATACTAATGAATGACATTTTTGTCTTTTGTCCCCCAAAAGACAAAAATGTCATTAAAGTAAGAGTTGAGTGAGTGAGCTCAATTAGGAAATTCATTATTCATTAATAAGGGAAGATCTGTGGAAATCTTCCAGGTGCATGTAAAACATGAATTGGCAAAGTTAGGGAAGCTTGCTGTGGTACCTGGGAAGCAAGCTGCCCCTGGAAAGAATCAGTAATTAAATGAAAACAAGCCAGGCAAAAAGCATCTTCCAGGCCTGCGATCCTGATGTAAGGGGCATTGATTGGTTTGAGCAAAATGTATTAACTTTGTGGATACAGAGTCACTGAACACACCAAAGCAAAACTAAAAGGGAGAAATTAGTTTGAACTTTTAAAATGTGGGCAGAATTCAGAGGACAGAGAAAGGCTCATAGAGAAGATTCAATTAAATACCCGAGGAAGTAAGTAATCATTCGAGGTTTGTGAGAGAAATAGTTTTAAGTAATGAACGTATGTTTAAAACGATAAAACTATTTGCTCTTGAGGGGATGGGACTATGGGTCAGATGAGAAGGAATTTTAAGGTTATTCTAAAGAGCAGATTTTAGATTTCAAAAATGACTAAAATTTCCGTTTGTATGTAAGAGTACATTTTAGACATATATTTTTTTCACATCCAGTGTCCATTTAAATGTTGTCTGTATGTTGAGGTCTCAGGTATTTGCCACCAACTCTTACCTATCTCAGCAGGTATTTCTTTTTTAACATGTAAGAAGTAACTAGAATATTATTAAGAAAAATAGATGTTAATATAAAAACCCCACAATTATTGGGCACTTAAAAATATTAGTAGTGCTAACTTGGACTTTAGCAAAGACCTATATTCCAATTGTTGGCTCTTTTAATAGTTGAGTAGAAAAACTTTCAGGGATATTTTCTTCTTTTTTCTCTACACTTTTATTCTGACGACTCTCTACTTATGAAAATGCTTTATGCCTCAAGCGTTCTTGCCTATCCACTTAACCTCATTCATAAAATCAATTCCTAATTTTCAAGCTACCACTTATCATTTGACTGTTTAATCAAGGGAAAAAAAAAACAATGACAACAAAAAAAACTTTCCCTTAACCACTTGACACTTGTTGTTTATCAGTAAAGAACTGATGTCCTTTTTACGTAATCAGAGAAGAGTTTACTTTCAAAATCATGGTTAAAATGTTTTAGATTGCCTGCTGGTAAAAAAATAAATAAATAAAAGAAAAATATCTATGATGACTTATTTTCCCTTTGAATATTAGACTCCATGTGACCCAATTTGCAACTTAGCTAGACTTTCATGTTAGTGAAATTTGGGTTAAGAAATCAAGAAAATAGGTTAAGCTTGGAAGGAACCACATGTTGTCTTTGGATGCAAATGGTGTCTTTATTTACTGGGATTTCACAATGTCAACCAGTCAACCAGGTATATCTTTAGTAATATACTTTAGTTAAAACATTCTTTAAAATTATTATTTAACTTTCTAAAATGTTGCAAAGTTATTTTCATGGGATTTCATGCTAAAAACACATGTTTATATAGAAAAACATTTTGTATAACCTTTACAGTATTTTTTTTTTTTTTTTTTTTTTTTTTTTT